AGCTTGTAAATTCTACTTTCCAACAGAATATAGTTCAGTCAAGTTTTTTGACCCTTAACAAGTGGCTTAGCTTTTCCTCCAATTTCCAGTAACACATTCCTTACTTCCATCTGAGACCTCACCAAAAGCACCTTTAAACCCACGATGCATGCTGAAGAATCTTCAAGACAAGTTTGGTTTTTTGTAACAGGCATCTAAAATCTTTGTAACCTCTTCCTATTGCCAAATTTTAAAACCATCTATGATTTTTTTATATTATTAGCTTTATTTATTTTTTTTTAATTTTTATTAGTGAGACACCATGAGGTACAGTTGTAGACTTACAAATTTTTGTGCTTGGATTTCAATTATACAATGATCAAATACCCATTCCTCCACCAGTGCCCATTTCCCACCACCACGGATCCCAGTATCCCTCCCACCCCCCATCCCCCCATTCCACCCTGACTCTATGGCAGGGCATTCCCTTTTGTTCTCTCTCTCCTATTGGGTGTTGTGGTTTGCAAAAGAGGCAATGGGTGGCAATCATGTTTAGTCTATAGTCTACTTCCAGCATGCTTCTCCCATTCTGGGAGGATCCTCCCAACACCCTTTATTTGGTGCTCCCTTCTCTATCTGATCTCCCTTTTCCTCTAGCATATGTGGCTGGCCTCCAAGCCATGGAGTAAAATTCCTGATACTAATCTCGGCCATTCTTGAGTGTTAGTCTCCTATTTTGTTACTTTATGTTCCCCAGATGAATGCAATCTTTCTATGTCTATCCCTTTCTTTCTGAGTCATTTCACTTAACATGATACTTTCCATGTAGACCATCTATGATTTTAAAAGAGACTTCCCAGTACAAAATACCTGTATTCCTGCTATAACAAAGTAATATGAGGCCAGAGCAAAAGTACAGTGGGTAGGGCATTTTGCCTTGCAGATGGCTGACCCGGGTTCAATCCCTGGCATCCCATATGGTCCCCTGAGCACTGGCAGGAATAATTCTGAGCACAGAGCCAGGAGTAACTCCTGAGCATCACTGGGTATGACCCAAAAAGACAAAAAAAAATTTTTTAAAGTAACATGAACTAGGAATTCAAAACAGGAGAACACTCTCATACTTCTAGATGCCAGAAGTTGTGGTGCCAGGGATTAAACCTAGAATCCCACATTCAAAGCAGACACTCCATCAATATAACAAAAAGATCATACACCATAACCAAATAGGATATACTACGGGCACACAAGGATGATGTAATATACACAAATACTATATCAAAACAAGGAAAAACAAAAATCATATGATCCTATTAATATATGTAGAGAAAGCATTTGACAAGATCCAACAACACCCATACATGAAAAAAAAAACTCAATAAAATGATGGTTGGAGGAACTTTCCTCAACATAGTTAAAGCCATCTACTATAAACCCACAGCTAATACCATAGTCAGTGGTGAAAAACTCAAAGCCTTCCCTACCTCTAAGATCATTCATAAGACAAGTTTGTGCACTCTCACCACTCTTATACAATACAGTATTGGATGTCCTTGCCATAGCAATTAGGTGAGAGAGAGACATTAAAGGCATCCAGATGGGAAAAGAAGAATTGAAACTACCACTACTTGCAATGACATGATATTATATCTAGAAAACCCTAGAGATTCTATCAAAAAACTTCTAGATACAATAAACTAATATAGCAAGATGTCAGGCTACAAAATTAATGCACAGAAATCCGTGGCGGTTCTATATGCAAATAAAGAAATAGGAAGAGAGAGAAATTAAAACAGCAATCCAGTTCATTATTGTGCTTCAGGAAACCAAATTCCTGGGAATCAGCTTAACAGAAGAGGTAAAAGACTACTGTCAAAATGACAATCCAACCCAAAGCAGATTCAGTGTGGGCCCTATAAAATAGTCATATATTTTTTAAAGACACAGATCAAATGCTGCTGAAATTTTTATGTAGTAATAAACTCCCAGCATAGCAGAAGCAACCTTGGGGAAAGATGTTGGAAATTTCTCTTTCCCCAGCTTTAAATTATTCTATAATGCTGTAGTAATCAAAACAGTGTGGTACAGGCACAAGTGCAGACTCTCAGACTAATGTAATAGAATTGAGATCCCAGAAACAGATTCTCAGGTGTATGGACAGCTAATCTTCAAAAAAGGATCAAAGAACATGAAGCAGAACATGTTTGTTGAAGAGGAAACCCTCCTCAACAAACAGTGTTGGGAAAATGGTCGGTCACATGTGAAAAAATGAACTCAAACCTTTATCTCACATGATGCACAAAGTCAATTCAAATTGGGATAAAGACCTTAATATCAAACCTAAATTCATAAATGTTATTAAGGAAAACAAAGATTAACCATTCATGACACTCAATCATCTTTAATGATTCAATGCTATAGGCCAATGAAATGCAAGCAAAGATAAACAGGACTAGATCAAACTAAGGGGCTTTTGTACCACAAAAGAAATGATTATCTGGATAAAAAGACATCCCACAGACTGGGAGAAAATATCTGTCCAGCACTCATTTGACAAAGAGCTAGTTCCCAACTATATATAAAATACTGATAGAACATTAAAAGAAAAACAATAACGAAAATTGGGGGGAAAGAGATGACAGAAACTTCCTCAAGGAAGGCATACAAAGGGTCAACAGGTATATGAAAAAATGTTTTACATCATTTTTCATTGGAAATTGTAAATCAAAACAACAATGAGATATCTCATGCCAGTGAGACTGGAACACATAACAAAGAACTAAAAGAGATGTGGGGTAAAAGGAACCCTCTTCCCTGCTGGTAGAATGTCAACTGCTCCAATCTTTTTGGAAAACAATATGGACACTTCTCAAAAGACTAGGAACTGAACTTCCATATAATCCAGCAATTTCACTTCATGGCATCTACCCCAAGGTGTTGGGTAACATTGCTTTGTCCTTCTACAAGAAGCTTAGGTTTATCTGGTTACACCCATCAATCTGGTTACACCCATCACAGTGCTCCTGAAGCACTTCCACTTCCATTGTGTTTATCTGTAAACAGTCTTCCCTATGCTCTCCTTCCCACCCAGTTAATCAGCTTTCCCCTTAATCAGACTTTGTTAATTTGTAAGATCAGTTTCCCAGAAATCTATGATTTTATATGTATGAGTGAAATATTGCCTTTCTCCTCTCCTTATGCCTTATGAACATTTTACCTTAAAGTAATATCCTTTTTGTATAGATACAGGAAGACCGTTAACATTATGCTTTGTAACTTAGGATTTGATTGGCCTTGAATATTATTCACTCCCGGGCATCTGCTTTCTCGACTTAAGCCTCAGTTGCCCTTAGTTCCTAACACCCCAAAAGCAGGGTCCCGACGAGGGACTGAATGGACCCAGGGCAAGCAGTGAGCTACCCTGGCAGCGAAATGGGCCAGGCCAAAGTGCCACGATTCTTAACTATAAGTTAAGAGTTTGATCACAGACAAATGCTGTCATGATCCAAAGGTAATGACAAGACTAGGATCCTGCTAGGGGTGGGAAAGACTATCTGGCCTGAGCACCGTAGTCTGAGATCGAGATGGCCCTAGGAGAGCAATTCTATAAGTTTAAGATACTTCTTACTGTATCCATACAAAATGATTTATATTATAGTCTTATATGCTTGTCGGACAAGAAGAGGAGAGGCACGCCCATGGGATTATGCTCTAGGGTGGGGCCTCCTGCTGAGGAAGGATCTGTCCTAGGAGCGGCCTTCCCTGAGGCTAAGATTTCTACCCCTATTGATTGTGACCACACCTATGTGTAATTGTTTCCCCAATTCCTTTTGGAGAGAGATATAAGGAGACGGTGGATTGGGGGGGGGGGGGGCAGAGACAGGAGAGACAGAGAGAGACAGGAGCAGAGACAGATGAGGAGAGAATCAGAATAAACTACGACTAATACCTACCAGCCTGGCCCTCGTTCCTTCCTCCACCTGACCATTGCCATCGACCTCTCCAGGGTGGGAGAAGGGTGAGACTACCGAACGCGGGCGGCGGGAGAGATAGAGCCACCGCCGCTGTGTGTGGCGTGCCCCCTTTTGTGTGAGTTTACACACCAAGGGTCCAAAAACTATTCAGTAGAGATGTGTGTGCTCCTATAGTTCACGACCACATTATTCATAATAGCCAAAGTCTGAAAACAACACAAGTGTCCAAGAACAGATGACTGGGTAAAGAAACTATGATATATGTAGATACACACAAACACACACACACACAACAGAATATGACTCGCTTATAAGAAAAGAAGTCATAAAATTTGTTGCTATATGGATGGGTCTAGGTAGTATATCAATCATGCTGAGTGAAGCTAGTTAAGGGGAGAGACAGATACAAAATGATCTTCCTCATATGTAGGACACAAAGAAATATAGTAAAGAAACAATAAATACCCAAAGGCAACAGAAACCAAGAACTGGTCTTCTGAAGGAAGCTTACCATGGCAGGAAGTATGGGGGGAGGAGAATGGGCAGGGGTGTAGACGATAATGGGAAAATAGTGGAAGGAAGCAGAAAATCTGGTAGAAGTGTGGTGCTAGAATATTTCGTACTGAAAACCCTACTATTAACAGTACTGTAAATTACAGAGCCTAAAATAAAACTTGCAGAGGAAAAACGCTTTTAAAGCATGGTGCCTAAGTAAAGTAGGGGAGTAAAAAAGCTTTTTAAGCATGGTGCCTCAGTAAAATAAATTTTATTATAAAAGCAAATTTTAAAAAGCAGGCACCCCAGTCATCTGAGCCACCCCCTGGTCCTCACATTTCCCTTTTAAAAATTTAATAAGGATACCACTCATATTTGATTAAGGTTTACTTTAATGATCTCATTATAACTTGTTGACTTTTTAGCTACCCTATTTCTAAATGAGGTCACATTCTGAGGTACGAGTAGTTAGAACCTGAACACATTTTATTTGGGTCACACATTTTTATTCATAATAGTCTCCTCATCAATTCACAGGATGCCTGTACTTACCAATGGAGAACAGGTGGCTGTAGTTCTCCAGCATCACGTCTCGGTACAGGCACCTCTGAGTAGAGTCCAGCTGCTGCCACTCATCCCTGCTGAAACGCACGGCCACATCCTCAAACGACACTGACACCTGTAACAATACAATCTTGTTTAAGGTGACATGTTCAGCACTGGGGGATGAAGGAAAAGAGAGTGGCCAATTGTTTTTAGTTTTTTTCACCATATTATACAGTGAAGGATACCACATGTTATTCTTATTAATACCTACTACTGGTATGTTGCAAAAAATCCAGGTACTTACTTGTAAGTTTCTGCTATTCATTGTGTATAGCATCTGGTCAGTCATCTGAAAAAATAATATTTTTACAGGCTTTTACCTTGATCCTATTTGACTGGTAACTTCTATAGGAAATGAATGAGGTTTTGGCACATCAGATACCAGGAAGACAGCTAATAAGACAGGTGAGAAAACAGTTGTCAGAAAGTATCCCATTTGCACCCAATGTTCCTCCAGATAGGAAACTTCCTCAGCAGTGTGGTGGTCAGCCCGCAGTCCACCCCTTTGTAATGATTAATAATAAATTTCTCAGTGGGTAGGAGATGTTCCCACTCTTTCATGATAGTTACAGAGATAAGCCTATACATTCAGGGGGGAAGGAAGGAAACTTGTAATATTTCTGGGCAGAAACTAGACAGATGTTTAGAACTTTGGCTGCTTGTCTGACAGAGGAGGGAATATAAATCTGATTAAGAACTGGTGTAACATTGGGCTGGAGAGGTAGCTGAATAGGGTAAGCACAGGTTTAGCATTCAAGAAGCCCGGGTTCAATCTCTGGCACTTCAGGGTCCCCTGAGCACCACCAGAGCAACTACCATGTATAGGGCCAGGAGTAGCTCCATGAGTGCCACCAAATGTGAACCCAAAACGAAACAAATACAAAACAGAAAGAATGGAATGTCTTCATAGATCTGTCAATATTCTATCATGTCACCCCTATATTTATTCAGAAACAACAACTAAAGGTTGCAGAGATAACACAGTAGATCCCAGGTGAGAATCCTTCAGACAAACTCCCAGGGGAAACCAGATTGGCACTGGCTAGCATCCCTGTTCTTATTGCCCTATAATGGATCTATAATACTGATGGAAGGGGCAGGGCAACAGTACAGAGGGTAGTGCCCTTGTGTTGCATGCAGATGACCCCAGTTTGACCCCCAGCACCACATATGGTCCACCAGCCCCATCAGGAGTGATCACTGAGCACAGAACCAGGAGTAAGTCCTGAGCACAGTCAGTTGTAACCCCAAAACATATATACTTGTGTTTTATCTGATGAAGATAATCCACTGGGAAACAAGAAACTTACCAAAAAATTCAAGATAAATCTTTTGAGGTCAACCCCACTACTCTGAAAAGACTTCCTTACTAGTTACCTTAAAACTAGGCAAAACCTTAATATGTGTTACTGATAGGATTCAGGACATGCTTCCCTAAAATACTTCACCTTGGTATGCTTAATTTTTTTTGCTGGAGTCTGAGAAAACATCATGTATAGAAAGACCACTCTGACCTTCCCCCCATTTCTCTCCCCAAAACAAGTGCTAACCGCCCTCACCAGCCTCAAGAAGAGGTTCTTTTCCTGTACCCTAGAGAAGGATAAGGAAATACTAAGAAAAGCTGAGCAAATAGGCCTCACTAAATTTCTTTCTTTTCTTTCTTCTTTTCTTTTTTGGTTTCTGGGCAACACTCAGCTGCACTTTAGGGACTTCCTACTGGATCTGCACTCAGGTATCACTCCTGGTATTCAGGGACTATATGTGGTACTGGGGATTGAAATCAGGTTGGCCATGTGCAAGGCACCTTAATTTCTATAGTATCATTCCAGACCAAGGTGCTACTAAATTTTCCAGTTTACTACACTCAAACTTAACTTAGCAAATTTCTCCATCACACATATTCCTCATCAGACCTAGCATGAAGCAGTTGTGTCTGTTTCTTTGGGTAGTCATATTCTTATAAAGCCTCCTATGCCTTGCAAAACTAATCTATAAGCTTTTCTCCTGTGAATTTGGACTTGTGAGTTTAATTTCCATCTCCAATAAGGAATGTATGTTTCACGACAATGTTTTCCTTCCCTACACTATCATGACAATTGGCAGGAAATGACTCAGATTTAAGTGGACAGCTTTAAAAGACAAAATTGTTACAGCTCCAGCAAAGTCTTGAGTTAGCCTTGAGCCATGACCAGAAAGCAGTGCAGCTGTGGCTATAGAATTCAGGCATCCCCATATCTAAATGTGTCAAGGGGTGGTGCTGTACATGCTTCCTCTATGAATGCTCAGAAGAATGCTTACACCTTACACAAAAGTTAACTCAAAGTGGATCAAAGACCATGAGATCAGACCTGAATCTATAAAGTATACTGAAGAAAATATATATAGAATGCTCCAAACATTCTCAAACAAGACCTCAAACAAGTCTTCAACAATACAATGCCATTGGCAAAGGCTAGAATCAAAATTATACAAACCGGACTATATCAAACCTAAAAATTTCTGTACGGCAAAAGAAAAATGGGCTAAAACTAAGTGTCAGCTGAGTTAGAGATAATATTCGCACTCAATGCATCAAATAAAGGTTTGATATCTAGGATCTATTAGGTAAAACTCCATCAAAAAATGGGGAGAGGAAGTGAAAAGACACTTCTCTGAGGAAGACCAACAGGTGGCCAACAGGCACATGAAATACATGCTCATCACTTATTAGGGAAATCCAAATCAAGACAACAATAAGATATCTTCTATACCAGGCAGGGCTGGAGCAATATCACAGAGGGTAGGGCATTTGCCTTGCATGCGGACAACCCAGGTTCAATTCCTCCATCCCTCTCGGAGAGCCCGGCAAGCTACTGAGAGTATCCCGCCCATACAGTAGAGCCTGGCAAGCTCCCCATGATGTATTTGATATGCCAAAACCAGTAACAACAAGTCTCACAATGGAGATGTTACTGGTGCCTACTCGAGCAATGAACAACAGGAGGACAGGACAGTGCTACAATGAACAACAGGAGGACAGGACAGTGCTACAGTGCTATACCAGGGAGAATGGCACATGTCAAAAATAGTGGGACCAATTTCTGTTGGTAGAGATGTGGTGAAAAAGGAACCCTTATCCACTGCTGGTGGGAATGTTGTCTGGTCCAACCCTATGAAAACAGCAAGGAGGGTACTCAATAAACTCAGACTTGAGCTCCAATGTGACCCAACAATTCTACCAAAGTAGGTATCTATACCCAGGAGAAAACAACATTAGTTCAAATGAACATATGCACACCATTATTCATTGCAGCACTCAATAAAATAGCTAAGGTTTGGAATCAACCTATATGTCCAACTACAGATAAGTGGATCATTAAGATGTGGCATATATACATAATGGAATAATATACATAGCTGTAAGGAATGATGACATCATACAATTTGCAGCAACATGGATGGAACTGGAAGACATCATGTTAAATGAAGTAAGCTAGAAGAAGGCAGATAAAAACAGGCTATCACTATATGTGGTATTTAGAATAAATGGATGAGGGAATGTAATGTTTTAAAGCAGAGATACCCTGATCAATCTTGGCCCCAGAGTATAGGGGGAAGGAAAAAAAGAGTGAAGGGGAAAGGAGAAGAGACAGATACGAAGCAGTGTAGGGGTCAGGTCAAGGGAGTCGAAAAAAAAGATGTTGTTATGGAGTGATAGAGCCAAATACCTAAACCATAGAGTCAACAACACTGAAATCAAGAGGCCCAAACTTTAACAACCAAACTTAGAAAGGTACCTATCAAGAAGGGAGGCAGTGGAGTTGGGAATGGGGGTGGTGGGGATAAGGGCGGGAACCTGGGAACATTGGTGGAGGGAAATTGACACTGGTGGTGAGATCAGTGCTGCAATATGTCTAAAATTCAACTATGTAATCGCAATGCTTAATTTTTTTTAAAAAAATGTGGAAAGAGAAAAAAAAGTGGATATTTATAAACCCTTCCTGCCCCTTTGTTGTGGATTCAAATCTTTTTAAAAAGCAATTAGCCTTTTTTCAGCATTACAAGCCAGGAAGGTTTTTCTTAAGGGCCTGGAGTCATATTGAAATTCAAACATCAAAGAGACCTCCAGACCTCCCCTTTGTCTTGGTAGCTTAGCCTAAGCATCTGTCTCTAAGCTGCAACTACCTGCTTTTTATAGACATCTGAGAAGTCTAATTTAGTCTTTGGCTAAAAATAATCAGCTATAGCAGCTGGCCACCCCAAGTACTTGGTCAATTTAGGATGAACCATAGAGAATGTAGAGCAAACTGTACAGTCAAGTCTATTAAATAAAATTTAATGGAATATATTTTAGATGCCAGAAGTTGAAAATTATTTATGCAAATATGAATATGCATGCTATATTGTATTAAATGATGTTACATGAAGATTGGTTATGCGGTGGAATCTATCTGACCACACATAGGACTGAGATTACCTTGTATGTTTACAATCTCAACAGCATAGTGACTGCCCAGGACTCAAATTACAGTATGTCTTTATACTCAGTAATAAAATTGTTTGTCTTTTTCACATTTGTAAAAAGAACTTCTGGATTTCCAGATTTTTGTTTTTCAATTTAGCCCCAATAACATGCTGATGAGGATGGGGTAGCTTGATTATTCCTAAACTGAGCAGACCAGCTGAAGGTTAATTATAAACTGTTTCCCTTCTAACTCTGTGCTTCAAATACTAGTCGGATGAATTGCACTTTACCAATTCCAGATTATATTCTTTTTAAAAATTATATAATCCTTTAATTTATAAGTACTCATTATTATATGCTGCTTGTGCATATATATTCTGATGTTTAGACAATTTTATTTAAGTTTTATGGGGTTTTAAATAAAAATTGCATTTACTTCAAATGATTATTAGTTACTACATAAGCATAATAATTTATTGCCTTCAATACTGGCTAGGATAATTTACAATCCTTTAGCATCTGATCAGGAATTATCTGCAGCATCTACAGTATGTAATGATTTTTTTTTTATAATTTATTTATTTATTGAATCACTGTGGGAAAAGTTACAGAGCTTTCGGGTTTAGGTC